CAAGGGTAGGCCGGGGCCAAGCCCCAGGCGCCTCGGGAGGGACTATGTCTCTCGGCTGGCCTGGGAACGCCTTGGCATTCCCCAGGAGGAGCTGGAGGAAGTGTCTGGAGAGAGGGAAGTCTGGGCATCTTTGCTTAGACTGCTGCCCCCGCGACCCAGTTCCGGATAAGCGGAGGAAAATGGATGGATGGATAGACATGAGAAACAAATAGGAACATGCTAAAACTTTTAGCATGTGGGGGAAGACGTAGTGAACACCAGTTGGATTTACTGACCTTGGAGCTACTTGAAAAAGGAGTGATGTCCCACTACTCTGTGGGACTTAATGGTAAGTTTAAAAAAAACACACGTTGCATCTCTGTTAACGCCTTGTTTCTGTAACCTTAGAGAGAATTGTTGTAAGGCTGGAGAAGTTACTATGTCTGCATTATGCCAGTTAAAATATGGGCTTTCTCAGTTACCCGCTTTGTTTAGAGTGTTACACATCTCTTTTTAGCGGTACATATACTATTGTTTACATACGTATCTATGGAGGAGATATTCAAATTAAGTAATGGTATTCCGTTAGACTATTTAGAGCTATGATGGGTGCAAAGCTAATCTAGAGGTACCCTATATTAAACATTAAATGGCTGGAAATGAGCAAAATAAGCATGCCATGGGCTCTTTAAACTCGAATGTATGTTGCTTGTAGGTTATAAGCAAGTTTAATAAAACTTGTTTGTTTATCATCGATCATTCTGGACCTTTGATTCAGACCTTTGAACATTAAGTTTGAGAACCCCTGTTTTAGAAGCTAATACGTATCCCTGCATTGCTGCCAGTGCTGTTCAGTGAGACTGGGTAACAGGAAACTGTACCTCTCCACATTAAGGTGAGTTTTGGAGCATATTTCTACAACAAAAATATTTACATCCTGCCACCCAGCAGTATGTGAAGTACTTTTGTAAGAAACTATAAGTAGGCCTATATAATGTTAATAAAATTATCTCTACCTTTACCAGATGCAGCATTAAATGTGATGAACATAATAATGTATCAATAATTATAATCCAATAATATAAATATCCCATTCTGCATAATGAGTACTTTTACTTAAGTGATATTTAGAATGCAGGACTTTTACTTATATTAGAATATTTTTACACTGGTACTGACATTTTTAGTTCAGTAAACAATATTAGTTCTTCTTCCACCACTGGTTTTTGGTAGCTGGCATGTGTTGTAAAGGGGAGGTGACAGAACACAACAGTGGAGAACAGTGTCTCTGCTGTAGCTTTTTACTATCAGAGGAAGCCAGTGTAGCCAGTGTAGATAGTTGTGGCTTTATTTCATGATCAAGATCAAAGATTTTTATAGCCAATTCACTATATGTGCAGGACATACGGAAAATCAAAATACCGTTTCTCTCTCACCTGCCCAGCGTTTGAGGTACATGCCCCTAAATTTGCTCCGCCACCTGACACAACAGAGGAGATGAATGAATTTGTGCTGTTCCAACAACACTAGAAAACAACTTTTATGTAAAAATGAAAAAAATTGTTTAAATATTATCATTTACCATGATAGTTCCTTAAGTCCTACACTGTATCCCAATAGGGACAATTGATGATGACTGCTCTGACAGATCACCTGGTCCACGGAACACATGCATCCTTATGTGATAATACTGCAGCTCTCTCTCTCTCACACACACACACACACACATATAAAGACACACACCCAAGCCCTAGGGAAGCATTTTTTAAGCTTAGTCCCAGTGTTCAGATGTGCCAGCAAGCCACATCTTGTTCGGCTGGTTGTAGAGCAACACACCCACTCATTTCAGGTTGATATACATAAAAAGAGGGTGGGGGTGAAGCCATACATACACACAGAAAGTCAGACAGACAGGCACTGAGCCCAAGAAAAAGAGAAAGTACAGCATACGACAGTGCAATAGAGAATATTTCCATCACAGAGCCCTATAATGCTGCAAATAATAGAAGATCATGATGAGTATTCTTTTGGGACTGAAGCAACAATTTCTGTAGCCACAGCTCCAGTAGCTCACCTTTTCCTGCTTTCCCCTGGTAGTTCTTGGTTGGTGCTGCTACATCCTGGCCCCTCCCAACAGGGAGAGAAGGGGGCAGATTAGAAGTAGGTGGAGGAGGAGGAAGAGGGAGGTCCAGGTGAGGAGGTGTGAGCTCTTGGCTGACTGCATGGTCTCCTCGTCCCATAGTGACCCCTGACCTTGAGACAGTACTGGGCTCTATGGTCTGGCTCTGGAGACAGGGATGAGAAATCATTTTGTCAAAGCAATGGTAGGAAGACAGATTAAAGGTCAGGGATACAGCCAGGGTACAAATTTTACAACAACCATGGCTGTCATTGCCCTTGCATTTGGCTGTGAAGCCCTCTATATCTGTTATACGGCCACGGTGGCCAGTGTGCCCCCATCAGATGTGATGAATTGATCGCTGTAAATGATCATTCATGTTCAGTCACTCATGTAGGTAGGATAATCACCTTTATTGGCCACGTATGTTACACACAAGGAATTTGTTTCCGGTACAGAACCGATGGGAGATGACTGCTCTACCCACCGCACCACTGTCGGCTCCCCAGGTGTGTGTTTATGGATCTATTAAGGAAAATGGTGCACTTATTGAAGCTGTTCACCCAAGAGCGCTCCTCATAAAACCTTCATAAGACATGTTGCCATCATATGTTGTAGAATTTAATGTTATTCACCGTGTCTTACCTTTGCTACATCTACAGTAGCCTGTGTGCTATTTTTAGCTCATAGAGAGTATGTATCAGTCAAGTTAGCGGTGCTACACATGAAATACACATGCCTGTAAAGTTTCCTTTAGTTTTGTAGGGTTAGCAGATCGAAGGATGTAATATTTGGACCTGTCTATAAACTGTAAGAAAACTAGAGGCTGAAAAATGTTAAATGTAGTGTTGAAATTTATTGTGTTGTTTTCTGTGCTACTTGAAATAATGCATATGCTAAGTAAGCAGTGTTAATAAAGTCAGTAACAAGACATCTAATGTGCAATGTATTTAAAAGCAGAAGTTACACTGTAAAATGAGAAATTCTGTAAAAGTGACCTTTATTAGAATTTTTAATAAAAATCAAATAACAACCTTATTAAGCAGCCAGTGCTAGAAGTGATACTGGTCATTCTGTCATCATGATGTCAAGACTATTCAGAGTAATTAAGGAAAATTAGACATCCTTTCCTCCGTTTTCTCCTTAATAAATCCATGTTTCTTCCAACCTGAGATCTTAAGCAGCATCAGCAGAGAGCAACAAGAGCCTAGTTTGCTTTTGAGTCTAAATGTGCACAGATAATGCCATTTACTATCTAAATTATAATAAAGGTGCACAGTTGCCAAAGCTGCCAATGCAGCAGCATGAAATTTCCTGGCATATTTCCCCTAATCAGTTCTACAAGCATTTGCACTTTAATTCAAACATAACATGCATGTTGTGAAAATCAAAACCCTAGTTTGTAACTTTATTGCTCAGGCTGCATACATATAAGTTACATACATACACATCATTTGTCTGTGGGGCGAAATACCCAGTCAAGTGGCCTTCATACCCTCTGGAATGTATGAAATTGGGGTACCGGTACCAAAATGTTGGTATCGTGACAACACTAGCCTGGATACAGCCCAGAACAACATCACCTACTCGGCTTCTAGAAGAGCAAGTTTGCACACTGGAGCATGTGCGCTTCAACCCTGTGGCAGCATTATTCAAAGAAAAGCTTGTCCTTGTGTCATTTTTTTGAATGAATGTAATAGTTGTCTTTGCTGAGTCAACTACAGAAAAAAAGCAAACCGTGAATTCTGCATCTGCTCCCACGCTTGGCAGATAGAAACCCTCGCACATAGTCCCCCCCCGCCCCACACCTCTTAACCAGTTGCCTTGTCAAAAATACACAAACAAGGCCACAACCATCACCAGATGAATGCAACACTTATGTTCTCTGCTGTCGCTGCTTGATCAAACTCAAACACAAGGCAACGCTCTCTCCAGGGCTGGCACAGTGCTAAAACAAAGCCAGGAGAAAAATCTGGCAGGACAGAGCAAACCAATATTTATCCAGGCCCATCGACTGAGACGGCACTCTTATTTATAGCAACACCCTGGAGGCGCAGTTGAAGGGAGAAACAGTAGACATTAAAACACACATTTAAACCTGGAGCTGACTTCTACTGCTGGGCAATCTGCTGCTTTGCTCAAGAGAACTTTGGGAACTGATCCCAGATCCCTGATCCAGCCAAACCTTTATAACCTGGCTCAGGAAATGTAAGGAGCAAACTACTTTCATTACTTACAATCAGAATTTGGTCACATATAGAAAACTCCACAGTATGACACTAGAGTCACCAAAACATCTTTCTGTTATAAATTATTTAATTGTATTTGTATTCCTTTCATCCATTATCTATACCGCTTACCCTGAATACGGTTGCAGAGGGGCTGGAGCCAATCCCAGCTGACATTGGGCTATAGGCAGGGTACACCCTGGACAGGTCGCCAGTCTATCACAGGGCTGACATTTAGAGACAGACAACCACACACACTCCTACGGCCAATTTAGAGTCACCAGTCAACCTATGCTGCATGTCTTTGGACTGTGGGAGGAAGCCAGAATATCTGGAGAGAACCCACGCACATGCAGACTCCACACAGAAAGGCACTGGGTTGGCCCGGGCTTGAACCCAAAACCTTCTTGCTTTGAGGCGCCAGCGCTAACCACTGCCCCTTTCATTTCTACATCAATTAGTAGTTTTACTAGATTTCACCAAAATACCAGAGAGCAGGTGTGATATTACTGCTTTTAATCAAGGGGTTTTCTGGGTGGTAATACAGGTGCATCTTATTGTGCTGCCCCCAAGTAGTCAAAAAATCAATGAAAGCAAGTTCAAGGAATACATTTTTTATATCCCAGTCTGATGTTCATGAGTTGATGTTAATGCATGTTTTACTGAAAATAGAGCCTAAACACGGGGCCTCTCCTGTAGCACAAAATGTCAGTCTCACACAAACAACACAGTCAGAAAATCCCTAAAGCCAACAAGATTATGAAATATTACTCCAACCAAAAGCCAGTGCTATAAACACTTTGTCACAATAACACGCTGTTTATATGTTTGACTACATATTCTTGACATGTACGGTAAACAGAGCAGGACATTTAGAGCTATATTGGACTTGGACACTGGACTGGATTTCTGTTTGTCATGAAAATATAACCCAGTTGAGTTCATCCCGATTGAATCTGCTCTCTTAAATGATATTTTATGTAAACGAGGGTGAAGGTTTTATTAATCATTTACAGTCTCTTACAATGTAGTGTATTACCTGTAGAATGTATGGAATATGGACCATATGATCCACGAAGCATTTTAAGTTACAACACTTACTGTATGTACCTTTGTTTAAATAAAGGATATTACTTCCATACACCATACAGCTCACCAAGAAAGTCCCCCCAAATGCTGATTTATATAATTAACAACAACAAGATTATGTGGGAGTTATGAGTGAGCGGCTCTTTCCTCCTCCTACAGAGGAAAAACCCAAAATGTGCTATTAATCATACATACACACGCACAGCATGAGGCAGGAGAGCTGAAAACAATTAAATGTGCTATTGCCACATCTGCATGTGGCTCGCCAAACTGCCAACTCTCTGCTCTGTCTGCAGACTGCAAGTGAAGGGAAGGAGATTCGGACTGTGTAATAATGGAGGTGCATGAAGTAGCAACAGCATTCATGAGAACAGTGTGAATCATCAGGAAGGATTAGGAGGAAGAACCTAAAAACAAGAAGTGTGAAAATGAAATTAAGACACATTCCAGGACTTCAGACAAGATGTAAACCTCCCTGAATGCTGCTAGCAGCAACAGTACAGTAAAAAATATGAAATGTATAAATCTCACATTGTGTGTTTAGAGCCACTCCTCTTCCCTTTTGGAAAACGTTAGCTTCACTCTGTTAATTCTGACACAATGTTTTTATAGATTCTGGATATGAAGCATTCATACATAAGGGTGGTTACTAGGGCACTGGTAAAAGACACCAACGATCTTCTCCTAGCCTCAGACAAAGGATTTGTCTCTGTTCGTGTCCTTCGCCTCAGACAAAGGATTTGTCTCTGTTCTTGTCCTTCTATATCTCAGTGCTGCTTGTGACACCACTGATCACATCTTATTACAGAGAGGAGAACATGTTATTGCAATTAAAATAAGTGCACTAACTTGGTTCAAATCTTATTTATCAAACAGATTCCAATATGTTCATATTAATAATGAATCTTCCACACAGACTAAAGTTAGTCATGGCATTCCACAGGGCTCTGTACTAGGTCCAATTCTCTTTACTTTATACATGCTCCTTCTAGGCAATATTATCAGGAAACACAGCATAGATTTCCACTGCTACACAGATGATAGTTATATTTATCTATGAATCAAATGAATTGGTCAAACTTCAAGCATGTCTTAAACACCTAAAGGCCTGGCTGGCGTGTAATTTCTTACTTCTAAATTCAGAGAAAATTGAAGTTCTTCTACTTTGTTGTGAAAACCCTAGAAATACACTATCTAACCATATAGTTATTCTAGATGACATAGCTCTCCCCTCCAGTACTGCTGTGAGGAACCTTGGAGTCATTTTTGACCAGGATATGTCCTTTAAATCACACATAAACTAAGTCTCTAGAACTGCCTTCTTTTACCTGCGCATAACTGCCAACATCAGGAGCATCCTGTCTCAAAGTGATGCTGAAAAACTGGTCCATGCATTTGTTACTTCCAGGCTGGACTACTGTAACTATTTACTATCAAGATGTCCAAATTATTGCAAATAATCCCTGTTTTCACAAGTGGCAAGTAAACAGAAGAATTGAGCCAATTACATTAGAAAGTAATCTACCAGGCGTGTGTGTTTGCGCATATTTGATCAGCCAACTCAATACGATGTTGTTGTGTTGTGCTGCAGCAAAAGCTTAGCCAGGTTCACTTGTTTGCTGGGTAACCATGCTAGAGCCTTTGTATTGGCACCACCACTGTGCCCACACTGGTCGCACTGACATGATTAAAGAGTCTGGTTTTGATTTGATTTATTCTTTCAAGCATGTAAAGACAGTTGATATGTCAACACACATAATTTTACACATATCCAACAAATGCTAATCCCATATCAATTTGCTTATACCTAGTACATGCTTGAATGGAGTAGGAAGAAGTCAGACTTATC